TCTAACTCAGAAGCATTAGCAAAAAATTGGTCAGACCAAATGGTTTGCATACACATGTATACACAAACTGAGCAATAGACAAAATATCAATTCTTAACAATTAATAAAGAAAAGCTATAGGGCACATTAATAAGGATGGTTTCAGAAAAGGAAATGGTTTGATACACAAGGGGTAGCAAAAAGTGACAGGAAATGTAATAAGGTTTTTATATTTTGAATAACATCTGGTTTTCCAGTATTGATATTCTTTTAACATTAAATCTGAAAGTTTTATTATACAAGATACCGATTTAAAAAAAAAAAAAAAAAAAAAAAAAAAAACAAAAACAAAAAAAAAAAAAAAAAAAAAAAAAAAACAAAAAAACATTAGTAAGAAAGTACTCTTCACTAATTAGATTTCTTCCAATCTTTGACTAAAAAATATAAGGGAAATGTGTATTTAAACTTCATTGTTTACTACATGTAATATTTACAAAAAGAAAAAAAATGTAATATTCTGTAGGTGAAAAAACAAGAAAATGCTTAAAAAGACGACTTTCCAGGACAAATAGTATGCCATATACACAAGTTGTATTTGCTGAACATTTCTTTTCATTTCTTAGGTTTGTATCATGGTAATCAGTGATCATAAACAGTCCGACTGGGATAAACACTTTAAAACATTGCTTTTTAAGTGACAGCATTTTATAAAAAGGCCACTGAAATTGAGCTTTCACTAAAACAGGTCGTCCTACTATTAAGGGTGTAACGGTTTACCGGTATACCGATACATTGCAATATGAAAAAATAAATTTCGTACCGCGGTACGATTTTTGGAAAACCGGTATTTTATAAAAATCATAATTTTCAATTAATTGCCTTCTAATTTTGTACAAATTTCACATAAAATCTTTAATTGGCCAATTTTGTTGGTGCCAACGTAAGATAAAAGTATCCGACAACTAGTACACTTAAAAGTCAATAAGCGGCCGCATAATTTACATAAGCGGCCCAGATGTGAAAGGTCACACGCGACTAGTTTTGTTTATCAAATTGTGTGACACTTTACTTTCTATTTATTCCTTACATTTTTATTAAGTTTCTACTAAAAATATATACATATAATAATAATATATAAATGTTACTCCATCTTTACATCAAAACATATACAAGACAATACATATTGCAATATATTGCAATACGCTTCAGCAAAATGGCAATATATTGCAATACGGTTTTTGCTGTATTGTTACACCCCTACCTACTATACACATTATACTCTATTTATAATTTTATTGAGGTGTATCGTCGACATTTGTCACCCAATATCGATTTCTCGGCAATATGCTTTGCAGTGATAGCTCTATTTCTTGTTTCAGGCTTTTGTAGGCCAAATGAGGATCTATTCATAGTCAGTTTTGATAGACAAATAAATCAGTTAAAATATTATTCATTGATACCATGTGAAACTCTTGTGATATTATCAATGGGACTAAGAAAGGATGTGTCCTTTATATTTTGGCATGTCTGGTTTTGTAAACAGTTAATTATCATACCATTTACTGGTAAAAAAGATGCATCACAGATTAATGGACTGGACAAGATTTTCTAACTTCTGACCTTTGACCTCTAATGCTGGGCCCTCAATCTAATTTGGGGGAAGTGGGTCACTATCCTCAGCAGAAAGAATTTATAATACAGCAAGCATCATTCTTTAGAGGAATAAAACGAAATTTCTTTATAAATCGACAGCAGTCGTGTATATAAAACTATATAAACGTCACTATTGTCCAATGAAAAGGGACATACAAACGTGCAGTATTATAAACGTTATTTATTGAACAATAATTTTACATTTAGCGTCATTGTGACACTGACCTCAAAATTATTAGGAGTCATCTACTGATCAGATGCAATGATCTCTCTAGGTTATATAACCATGACTTATTCCTTCTAAATTATTAATAAAACAAGGATTTAAATGAACTGTCATGGTTACCTTGCCCCTTGAACTCAAACATCCTTATAGGCTATCATATGGTCATGGGCAATGTCCCAACCACATAAAATAAACCAGAGCTTATTCCTTCTCGAATAAACAAGGTTTACCTGCCGTTGTACGTACAAACTGATCGTACTGATTTTAATTACAGAAATGTCCCGACAAAGGGCCATAACTTAGTTAATGTAGTTAATGTACATGTCTGATTTATGGACCTTGGAAGGTGACTTTCTAATATCATCCTTTAGGCATGTATCAAGATTAAAGTAAATATTATCAGTATTTTCAAAGATTAATGTTGCATGTAAAACTTAAAACGAAGTTAACAAAAATATTATTTATATATTTAGTGTTATCCGATTAGTTAATTATCTCGTGCGCACGACTTTAGTATCTCGTTCCCACGACTAAATTGCTGGTGGCCACGACTGAGTATCTTGTGCACACCACTTTATCATCTCGTGGCCACGACTTATTAACTCGTGGCCATGACATAGTATCTCGTACGCACGACTTAATTCTCTCGTGGCTTAGTAACTCGTGGCCACGACTTGGTATATCGTGCGCACCACTTAATCATTTCGTCGCTACGACTTTATAACTCGTGGCCACGACATAATATCTTGTACACATCACTTAATTATAACGTAGCCACGACTTAGTAACTCGTGGTCACGACATAGTATCATGTGCTCACGAGATATATAAAACACATAAATGACAGCATTGTGTCTCGGAAGCATGATGTAACCGTGTGTTACGCGCAAAACGCAGACCCCGAGCTACAAGGTAAAAAAGGGAAAACAGAATCCCTTCAAAACGTCCGAAACAACAAAAATTAATGTTGCAGGCTTGGTATGATTGAGTATGTTCATGGTCACATTAAGAGGTAAAAGGTCAGCAATTGGAAATTTTGTCTTGCCCATATAAACTCTGTCATAAAATAGGGATTTTTTAATAACTTGACACAAATTTGAAACTTGGTCAGATGGTGTATCATATCCAGATCTAAATCCCCAGCTTAAAGGTCCAGGTTACATTTCGAGGTTAAAGGTCAGCAGTTAGAAAAATCTAATTCGGCCCATAACTCTGCTATGTATCAAGGGATTAAAAATATCTTGGCACATACTAAAGTTACAAGTGTTCCTTCAAAAAAGGTGTTATACTAAAGTTACAAGTGTTCCTTTAATAAAGGTATTCTACTTAAGATTTACTTTTTAAATAATGATTTAATGACAATTTGCTGATTTGTCTTATTGCAGATTCATGTATTAAACCATTTGGCCCATGTTTGGGGTCAACAGAGCTGAAAATAGAAATTAAGATTTAAAAGATATCTTGCTATGAGCCAATGGATGGACCATCATCAAAATTGGCCTGTACCATTTTTAGATGGATCACTACAAAGTTACATTATTAAAAATGGTTGGTCATGTTTAACCTAAATAATTCTGAACAGCTGAAGTATCCTAAAGATAACCACATGATATTTGCAATATAATTTATATGATCATAATGGATATCATTTGATAACAGATGAAGAACATTCAGAATACGGCCGATTTGAATACGCCAAAATAGGCCGAATACCACTTGTCCAGTATAAGTCAAAATTGCAAAGTCATTCTTGCGTAAATTATATAATTTTTTTTATCAAATTTGAGCTAAATGTTATGATTGTCTTCATTTAAACCGTTTTTGAACAGCAAACCGACATTTCGGATGAAATATTAAAATATGTGCTTAGTTGAACAAAACCTCGCAACTCGATTTGTATGTATAAAATTGCAGCTCCAAACCATGCCAGTGTAACATCATGCAATAAATCGATAAAAACATCCAGTGTGTCCAGTCCACAATTCTGTCATAAATTGATGCAATTCAAAGGCCATGGTTCCTATGCAACCTCCATTGGGCCCTGCTTAGGGGGCATATGTTCGTTTCTTACGACAGTTTTTGTTCCATATTTTTTATCCCTTTTCCTTCATATTGCTTACTAGTATTCGTGCAAAACTCTTCCAGATCACTCCAAGCATTTGATTGTATCGTCAGACCATTCTGTTGGACATGATGCTCTGGTTTTGGGTGTCATGACAATTTGATTAGTTTGATATCATTTTGTTTTGAAAGGGCGATTTTTTTCAAATTTATGGTCAGATCTCAATAGACGATCCGCCAAACTGACCCCTTATTAATTACAAATCTCTCTGGAAGTGACAAACTACTCATCCCACATGATACTAGTGAGAGATGACCAATTGACTAATATGTATGATCAGTGGTCACAGAGTAATTTCGTCTTATTTATAGAAGATAAAACTAGCGAGAAGATTGAACTTGCTCGAAGATGGAACTTGACAGGAGATGGAACCAGTTATTGTATATCTGATGCTCTCCGTATTGAGTTGCAACAGCATAACGATGCAATTCATTTTAAAGCTACTACAGTAGTTTAATTAGGGCCCAAAATAGTTTGTAATTTAAAGCTCACTCCTGTATTATCGACCAAAAGGAAAACACTTTCAATCTGCTAGTCAAATTGCTTTAAATATTCACGCAATAAAGGCACTAGATATATGTTTATCATTTAGAAGAAAAAAAAACAACAACACTGAACATATGTTTTTATCTTTATCTACATACTCATACAAGATAAATACTGAATGTGTAGAAATATTCGCGGGCTTTGCGTTTTGTTTTACAAGTTTTTTTATCAGTTAAAATCGTTTATGTTTGTGTTTTTTGTATTGTTTATTTAGAAAAGCAAACTATGTTCTTATCAGAGGTCAAGACGTTTTTTACGCAAACTATGAAACAAATAGCTTGATACAATGGTATTGTACAAACATGCATGTAAACATTCAAGAAATCCGATGATCATATCAGTCAAACAATAATATACAAGGAAACTGATTTATATACAGAGCTGAATATTACATGTACAATTTATACAACAGTCGAATCAGTCATATTTTTTTAACCTGAGCGGCTACGCGAATTTATGATTTTCATTTTTATGATACACGTACAGTAGTCTATTTCAGTGGAATAAATCTTGAAGAGTGAGTGGCACCAATACCAGGTCGACCGTGCTTCACAGGTTTGTATGTGATGCTGAACTCTCCCAAATAATGGCCAATCATCTCAGGCTGAAAATAGAGCACACTGGATAGTAAATTATAAATAAAATTGACCACCACTTTCATTGAGACTTATAGACGTTCAATTTTCTTCCACTGGTTCAAAACAGACCGGACACGAAAAAAAACTCGTATATAAGTCATAATTCTATACAAATCAATTAATCCCCGGGGAGGTGCCAATTTTGATCTAAGGAAGTCCAAACTTGTGTTCTACACACCGTCTCAATATAAGTAATATTTCTGCCAAAATGTTTTAATTTCTTTCTATCGGTTCAATAGATACAGACCGGACAAAATTTTTTTATATTGATACAAAATGTCTAAGTGTGGCCTTGATCAGAGAAAGGTCAAACTTGCGCTCTGCATATCGTCTCATTTTGGTTAACTTTTCAAGTAGTTAAAATTAACTTTCACTGGTTCACACAATACAGACCGGACAAGAAAACCTGCTAACAGACGGACGGATGGACAGACATCCAGGTGCAAAACAATATACGTCGAAATTCTTTCGAGTGTATAAAAAATGGTGTTCGTGCTGGTTAAGTGTGGTACACAAGTTGTCATCATCGTTTATCATATCTGTCACATGGTAAGTTTTTATGAAATTCATTATATTAAATTCTGTATCGACTCAGACAGTGCGCTCAGACAAAATGAATCGGGGAGTAAAATGTCATCCAAGTAGGTTCAGCGTGGTACATGAGTTGTCATCATTGTGCAATCTTATGTATTTATACCAAAATAGTGAAGTGGCAAAGGCAACATTCATTTATTTCTTTAAGAGTAAGATCCCTAGAAATGAAATTATTGTGGTATATATCATTCAAAGTAAGTCTATATACAGTTTTGATGTGTATGGATTATTGTGATTACGAGCACCTTTTACATACAATCCCAATACATATATTGAAACTTATATTACTCAACATGTATCACATTTTCCAAACACGGGATGTAAATGTGTTTCTATTCTACAAAAGAAAACTATGGGCACCTGTGATGATCCATCAACAGTTTAAGAGTCAGCTTGACAGGAAAGTAATGAAACAATTCACACCAACATCAAGAATGTAAGTTTGCAGAAGAAAGAGAAAATTAAATTGGAGGCAGTATTATAGCTTAACATAAACATGAATCAACAGTTTACATTCTGCTGGTGGTACATGATATTGTCATCAATGTGCTTTCTATTATTGCCCTAACAAATTTGTACAAGATTTACGTAGAATAAACAACCATTGATTAAACTGCCACTCAGACAAGAACACTCCTTCATGGTCTTCCTTGAAGACTTTCAGAGAGCTGGGATCATCTGTCATCACTGCCAGCAGTACAAGTTCAAAGTATTATTAGTACAACATTCATTTACTTTTTCATTTGTCATCACTGTCAGTATTCAAGTTCAAAGTCTTGTTAACACAACACTCATAAATTTACGTTTTTGACTTCATGACTTTATTTAATACCTTCCAAACACTAGGGAAGTTGTTGTTCTTTCCAACATAATCACTGGAAAATGCTTTGCACTTGACAAAAACACTAACATATAAATACAATTATTTAAAAATGTAATGAACTACACAGTATGAAGAAAACTTTTAAAAGAAACACAATAAGAAGAAATAAAATGTATTAAATTTAAATTCTAGTTCTCGCCTATAATCTGCATATGTCCAACTTATACAATTTCAAATAGAACAAATGTAGTTCCATGCTATTATTCAAAAACTAATTTATACCTTGATTTCAAACTGATTAAAAGTCTTTCCATTGTAGACACCCAGAATGCTGCCTATCATTTCTGGAACAATTACCATGTTTCTCACATGTGTTTTGACAACCTAAAAGAATTCCAGAATACTAATTTGTACTGTGCGAAGTGACTTAAAAATGAAGCGTTTTAAAATTTCATCTCGAAGCAGGCTATTTATCATACTAATTATAAAATTTCCATTTTTTTATTCTGAAAATATATCTCTTTATTACTTTCTATAAGATTTTCAAAGTCTTAGGCGTTTGGACCTCAGTTGCACCCCTTTAACGTATCTTAAATTGATAAATTTTAATCAAATGGCAGATAATATTCCGAAATATCTATAAGCATTATCTCCCCTGTTTGGGCACGTTTCAGTGATCTAAGAACTTTCATCATTAATCTATCCTCAACAATACTCTGGTCGTCAATCTTCTATACAATATCAAATAAACCAGTTGTCTACATATATTTCTTAATCCCCTAAAGTTGCCATTAGAATGCATGCATATGAGAACATAGATTTTTTTTAAGATCATAAATGAACAGACATCGGGAAAGAATTTTTTTTAAATAACACCATGTCTCTACCGGTAGGAAAACTCAAGGGACATTTTTTAATGAAGGATAATTTTAAGGACTATCTTTTTTACCGGCAGCATATAATTAGCAATAGCACTACTGTATAAAAAGGACCTTTGAGTGAGTTGAGTGAGTATCATCATTGTATTCTACATAATTGTTATTGATAAATATACAAAATAAAACACTCATTTGATTTTACAGGTATTTTTCAACATCTGGTAAGAGTAATTCAATATGTATTCAAACCTCTTTTTCAGGGTGACGAATCCATGCCCATGCCCTTGCCTTCCTCAATCTCTTGATAACAACTAATGCCCTCTTTCCAAATCTACGTTTCAAACGACGTCTTACTCGACATGTGAATATCTTTTCCAACTCCTCACTGAAATAAGGCATATTAATTTAAATGAATCTTAGTTCAAACTCTAAATGGATACTTTAACCTTATTTACAACTAATACTGCTTCATAAATCTGCCCCACTAATTACTCAGCTTAATACAAATAGGATTCATAAGATATTTCATCATGTTCGTTCAAGAGCATGTTAAAAGTTATTTCCTTCAACCAACGTTTAAGATGAAAATGAAAAATTAAATTTATAAATAAAATTTTATGGTTTAAACTTTGCTCTTTATACTTCACACTTTGGTACACGTTCATGCCTGAAATAATGCCAGGAGCGGCATCCAAGGTCTCCCTCCACCACTGAGGATTGAAAGTTGCCATATAACATCTCCTGTGTTGGTGCGATATTAAACCGAACAACAAAATCCTAGAAAACCGACCAGTTATTACCAATCTGTCAATTCACTAGTGACCGACTACTAATCTTACATGATATACATAGACAATGGTTATGATTTACCTGGTCATATCTTGCAGTTGATCGACGTTAAAACCTCTGTAGGCAAACTTCCTGAAGGGTCTCTTCTTCTTAATGGCTTCTTTGTCTGTCCAAAACTTCAATATATCAATAAAATTTCCAAATCTAACTAAAGTTCAAACATACTTATTTCTTACATGTAGATCTGGTTTCAACCGTATGTTTCGCCTTCATTGTGATTCCGACAAAGCTATTTTAACTATGTAGTCAAATCGCAAATTTTTATTTGAAAAAAAATTGAAACAAATTAGAAGAATCACTGACAGCATGCCATAAGAAAGCCATTGGTATGTAAAATATTACAAGTTAAGGACTGAGGACCATGTTTGAATTATCAAAATTGTATCATATTCAACTTTCAAAAAATCTTTACGAGTAACTCTAAATGCAAATATCATAAAAGCATAAAAATAATACATTAAAGTTTGATAAGGAAATGTGTTGAATTCCACACTGGAATGAACTCTTGAAAATTTATCAGTTTTGATTTCGAGAATTTCAGTTCGATTGGGATGTCTTTTAAAGACTGGGAAACATAAGCATATTTTCTATTGGGAATGGTAATCTGACCCATGATGAAACTTGGAAAAGGCATTAAAATGTGATATTTACTGCCCAAACTAATTTACAGGATTCATTTTAAGCTTTCATTGTAAAAACCATGCAAAATCAGGGACTGAAATTGAAAGTTAAACACCCGTGTTATAGTCGGTACTAATATGGATTTTATCATAGGCCCCATTTACATTTTTTTCAATGACCATTGTTGAATAAATGGTAGTTGACAGAAATTATGCCAATGACAAAAACATTAGGAAAAATATATTGCATTATCACGATTGGTGTAAAATCATAAATAAACTCATATATGTATAAATATTCTGTTAGAAGTGAGAAGGATCCAAGATATTGCCCACAAGTTTTTGCTTTACTGCGCTTATTTTCACAAATAAAAGCACCCCGCACCTTGTCCTAACAGACCGATTGTGGCGGCGTGGCCGAGTGGTTAACGCGTCGGATTAGTAATCTAGAGATAGCTGACAGCGTGGGTTCAAAATTCTGGAAACAAAGTGATCCTTCGGAAGCATCAATCACAACAAAATAACATAAGAATTGCAGACTTGGTTTGATTGAGTCTGTACATGAGGGATAATGAATAAGTGCAACATCCCTCACGCCCCCTAGCACCGGCTTGAGCGGTACTCAATTCTCAACACTTTATAGTGTTGTCATCAATGATCCCGAAGGACCAGAAAATATAACAACACTGAAGTGAAGTACGGGGCAACTTTTTACGGCTGCCACACGGCACTTGACACCTGCTGTTGTGAAGTACAAAATTCTGGAAACAAAGTGATCCTTCGGAAGCATCAATCACAACAAAATAACATAAGAATTGCAGACTTGGTTTGATTGAGTCTGTACATGAGGGATAATGAATAAGTGCAACATCCCTCACGCCCCCTAGCACCGGCTTGAGCGGTACTCGATTCTCAACACTTTATAGTGTTGGCATCAATGATCCCGAAGGACCAGAAAATATAACAACACTGAAGTGTCAACCTTGACTGAAGTGTCAACCGAAAACCCTGTCAGGGGCAAGCCGTTGTTTCCTTGAGCAGGAAAATTTACATTCATTGCTTAGTACTGGTTGGTTCCAGGAACGTATTTGAGAGTGTTTCAATACGCTTATAACTTCCAACACAATCGAACTAAAACAAATTTGTATAACTAAAAGACTAATAAACAGTGGTTGTATGTTTGGAATAAATGTAAAAAAACAAACTTTATAAACTTGAAAGAGAAAGTTTGCAACTAGGCATATACTAGATAATTACAGCATATTCATTCGGTTACCAATGCATTACCTACCTACCTACCTACCTACTATACTACTACTACTACTACCTCTACTATCTTTCTTAAATTATTCAAAACGAATTCATTATTACCATTTTGCTATGAAATTAGAACCGAAAAAGGAAGTTCTTTAATAATCATTCTGCGGCTGCGCTTATATCAGTTAATATCTGTTTATACCGTAAAATTAAACCGTACGGAAAATTAGGTTTCATAGTACTAAAAACAATTTTAAATATATTTTTGACTCTAAAGCAATGACAGTAACTAAAGAATCTTAATGACAGAAAAAGGAGGAAAGTTTAGGTAACGTCAATTTGAAAAATCATCTTTCATCATTTCTACACGCACTAAGTGAAATTATCAAATAACCATTTTTTTTTGTTTTTACTATCAAAATGAAACATGTTGTTTTAAATTATTATGTTATATCAAGCGTATAAATAACATCATTAAGAACATATGTGGAAGTCAGTTAATAATAAACATATAGGTGTCAACAGGAAGTGTATTGACAATCTGGGTAGCTCAGTTAGTAGAGCCTTGAAATGTGAATCGGGCGACCCGGATTCAAATCTGTACTGTGCAGGTCACTTTCGTCCTGATTGATCATGAAATCCTTTCTATGGCCATTCACACTGTACCTCTGCTGTTGACTATATAGAAGTAATATCAGTTCATTCCGAAATTGGAGGCACTATTACTTGTAAACTGCTTCACAGCCGGCCCAAGAACGATGCGGCGACTGACCTGTGTGTTCATAGTGACTTCCGCCCGTGATCTGGAGGGTACACTACAAAACCACCACCACAGGAATTGTAAAAGTTTGTCACGGTGATTCTTGTATAGTGTAAACGACATATGACTTAAATTAACAGAGGTTAGGAATCAAATAGTTCTAGTGACAGTTACAATTATAACTTCCAACCTCATGTTCCTCTTCAGAATTGTGATAAAACCTACCCCCATCTAAAAAGAAAATGAAATCATGCAGTTAGTGTTATAAGGACAGTGAGAATCCAGTCAATGTTACAAAATTTATTTTTTAGAGTGAACCTTAAGTGAAGTCACAACATATCAGCTGCTGCTATTTTTCTTAACCATCCCGATTATCTACATGTTTATACCGGAAGAGCATCTTGATAACACAGTAACATCCGAGTTACACATAAAATAGGCATTTTGTGTAAAAATCTAATGTTTGAATTTATAATTATGTGCAAAGGTCCGAGTTGTTGCCCTTTTATATTTATGTATGGATTAAAGAAATGAATTTACGACACACTTAAGTAATCAGATTCCACTTTTTCCTCTTCATTGTGAAAAAGTAAATCTACACTAATCATGTCTTTTTGTAATATGAATGTAATTGCATTTTTTAAATATTTAGTTTAATATATTTATGTATAGATCTAATTTAAATATGTTTGCTCTGACAATTTGGAGGAAATAAACGTATCAACCTATCTAACTATTAAATGCAATTCAAGGGTCATAATTGTACGAATGGAACGGAAACTTTGTATGAGTTTTATCTTAATTTTATTTCTTTACTGAAACAACACAAAATTGTTTACAACAGCTTTTTACCCTGCAAGGAAAGATATTAAAGGATTGAAAGAATTGGCTCCCTTTGATTTTATAATGTCTTTTATGCGGTTCATTGACAATGTAACTTGTGGTGTTTTTACTGTTATATTCTGATAAATGAAAATCAAAATTGAGTGATGACTGAAAACAGCGTATTATTTTTGTTAACGTTTATGGGTTTATGGCTTAAGGTAATACAAAACTTATCTGAAACCGCAATACCATCATTTAGGTCGAGGTCGACGTCATGGTAGATGTGCTGTTCCTATCTTAAATAAACCAAGCATTTCATAATCGTCTCGGAAATAATACAGATTGACATAAGTTCCATTATCTTACCTTTGATGTAATCCAATACAGATTGGGTACGTTTGTATAATGATTGACGGATGTTTTTATTTGACATTTGTGAGAAAACAGAATTCAATTCAGTAATATTGACACTTAAATGATACATATCTGACAATAAGAATCAATTTTAAAACACACAATTCAAATCCTGAATATTGTCAACAGGTCTCATTTTTACTTTTGGTTTCTATATAACATGATAATTAGCAGGAAAGAATGTATGTTTTACTTTATAGATATCAATAAATTTACTTAAGTGGATTTTTACAGAAGGTAATTCAATAAACTAACTTAACAGATCACAGCATTTTGTAACGTAGGTCAGACGGAAATACCGTATCTGTGTGTACAAACAATTGAGAAGTATACCAAATTAAACAATTATAACCAATTTCTCCACAAGTGACCGACTAATAATATGCCACATGATTTCTGCAGCGATAGACAAATAGTCAAAAGACTCTTGGAAAACAATTCGGGGTTTAAATGACTGGTTATCTTTAATTGAATTTTCAGCATCAAGATTGTTTTTAAGCTCTGATAGGAACTCTTACAAATAATAAAACAGAGACAATGATTACAAATGTCAATGACGCTAGGACAAGGAAAACAACAAGAAACTCTTCACACTCACTCTCTTGTTTATTGGTAATATTTTGCATGTGTAAGGAGTTGTTCAAGCAGATATATTGTTTCTCTAGCCCCTATTATTGCAGGTATTTTGCCAAAGAAACAAAATACATTTGTACGTTGTTTAGGTTTCGACCATCACAAGATTCTCCTTAAACTACACAGAAGTGTTAGTTCAGAGGTCATCAATTGGACAAGGTCAATTTTATATAGTCGCACCCAACAGGTCGTTGTCGATGGTCAAAACTTTGACAACCTACCAGTTTTTTTCTGGTGTTCCCCAATGCTCGGTCCTTGGACCTTGCCCTTACTTATCTTAAATAAATGACCTCCCTGATAGTGCTCAGGGCAAGGTTAGACTATTTGCAGACGATACAATAGTATACCTAACAATCAAATGAACCCAAGATACACAAACCCTCCAAAAAGATCTAAACAGTCTTGAAAACTGGGAATCTGATTGGCCATGGAATTTAACCCAGATAAATGTGAAATCCGTAGTATCAGCCGCAAAAAAACATCCAGTAGCATTCCCTTATAATTTACATGGTAAGCAACTACAATCCACTGAGGCTGCAAAATATTAAGGTGTAACAATTAGTAAAGATCTAACTTGGACCAATTATTTAAACAACATCACTCAGATTTATAAAAAGAAATGCCAAACTTCAAAAAAAAGGTTAAAGAAACTTCCTACAAAACCTATTTAAGGCCCCAGTTGGAATACTGTTCCACGGTTTGGCATCCTTGGCAAAAATATCTGGTTTACAAAATAGAACAAGTTCAAAGGTCAGCTGCCAGATATGTATACAACGACTACAATTACACCAGTAGTGTATCTAAAATGTTAAGTGAACTTAATTGTCAAACTCTAGAGCAGAGGCGCAACATCAGCTCTGTTACCCTACTCTACAAAATCCAACACAATCTTGTGAGGTTCAACCATTACCATCTGACACCCACTAGAAACCTGAACTACCTAATACCATATTCAAGGACACAATACCACTCCTATTCATTTTCCCCAGAAGTATTCGTTTGTGGAATGACCTACCCGTGCCCTTACAAGCTAGTCCCAGTTTAGACCTCTTAACTTGGCAGCTGCATCCTTTTTACCAGTTCTAATTCAGTTTTACTTTTAACTTTTTATCTCAGTCTGGTAGTTTTTTAAAAACTTGCTTTTATCTTATACCTATAAATTTGCACTTAACATATTTGTTTTTAATAGTTATTCCCAGACAACGCGCCAGCTTAATGTAATCATTAACGATTTTGGAGCAGAATGATATAGATGTAGATTACAGTATATTTAAGGCTAAAACAGAATGTTATCGCAGCTTTTTGATTTGCAGATTTTGAGCTTATACTGAATATTATCGCAGCTTTTTCGCTCAGGTTTATTAACATAATGTATCTTAATTTTTTCAGGTTTTGTTGTTTTAGATAAAAAATATCAGCAACATTGCTTGTAGGATTTATACATAAATTCATAAATACATAAATGTTTGCTACGTCTATTTACGTTTTTGCCAAGTTGATTATAAACACGCAGACGCACAATAAAATGCATTTCAATTGAAGTAATTGATTTTCATTAAACACTATTTATATATAGCTTTTAACGCAAACTTATTTATTCAATTACTGAAAAAAATGCAAACCAGATCTTCCGGATGCGGTTATTATGCAATTATTCTTGCTAATGCAATGTAGAATTAAAACAATTATGCTTCATTAAGAATAATTTAAAATCTATTATAGTCCTAATAGGTATCCAAAGTAATTGCAATATATATATTTTAAAGTTATATAATTTTAGTTTGAATACTCGGAATCTTTTGTCTGAAATTCGAAGAAACACACTGTACAGCAATTGAAGTGTTCAAATATTGCTGCCACATATTTTGTTGCACATCTAGTAAAGTTCGTTGGAATGGATGTACAGATAATAAATTAACATAAACATCTTTTATTTTCTCTCGTCAGATACAAGTTATTGCTTAAATGATTTTATATTGCCCCTGTTATATCTGGAACAATATCTAAAAGATAATCGCCAATCTTTTGACCGATAGTCAATTTGGGAACACAATGACAGTAATGTTATGTAAATACTAGTAGTTTGAAGAGAACAACTCTCATCATACCTTCTATATAAAGAGCTAATTATAATGCAGTAATGAAAATTATTTTATATTAAACAAGCCATTATCTTCATAATCGACATGTTGAATAAAGAATCGTTTATATATAACAATTTATCACAGATAAGTAGATAACTTAATGTTATACGAGAGGAGAAGGTTGGAATTTACAAATGACATGATATCTAATTGACAATTAATATAAAAATACAATACTAAAATGTAATTGATTCTTTTAAAAATTAGATCTTTAGGAAGATTCCCTTCATTTTGTCAGCAGCTCCACTCGATGATCCCGGGTACTGTTACTTGGTTTCATTCTTCATAGTTGTGTTTTTTGTTTACATGCCGTCACAGTTAAAATAATATTGCATATTTGGAAAGGAGATCCTATACGGAACTGCGTACATTCACAGAACAGCAGTCTAACATGGAAGCATTATATGCCCGTTACAAGATTCATAACCACTTAATTTTTATTTCATATCATTT